TGGCTCAGTAACAATATGGAGTGTGAATTTTGAACTGGGCCTCGCTACAGCAGGCCAGTCCTGCTTGTGTGGGAGGCCGCCAGGGCAGGAAGGCACTGACCGCTCACAGAATGCCTCTGTCAGTCCTGGGTGCCCCCCGCCCACCTCCCACTTCTCCTGCACGAGCGTGCCCCACTCCTGGACTTGGCCTTGTGCAGCTCAATGGGGCTGTTTGGCAAGCACGTTTCGTTGAGCTCTTTTGGCTCCTGCGGGTGACAGCTTCTTTTGCCCTGTGCCGTTGCCCTGGTCGGAGTTGCTCCACTCTTCCCCACACTGCAGCTTAGAAATGCTCAAGGGTTTGTTTTTCACTAAGCTTGGAGAGCAGCACCTCCACATATCTTGGACTGGGCATAACGAGTATGCACAAAATGGGTGAAGTGGGTTGACCAGATGCCTCAAGGGGATGTTGCTCTGTAACAACTATGAGCTCTGTCTTCTCAGTCATTCATTCATCTAGAGTCTAGAGCTTTGATGATGATTTCCCAGATTCTCGTTTCACTGGGAAAAGAATCTGTAGGCTACCATCCTGCCATCGCTTCTTCCTCACACCTTCCCCCATATTTCCCTTTCTTATTCACCTGCAGAAAAATCTGCTCAGAAGCTGTGACCACACTCTACTTCAAGGCAGACATCACGGTGATGCTCCCTATGGCACCCAGCATGATGTCTTAGACAGTTTAGAAAATCAAGACATATCTATTATTTTTGAGGAAGTATTAAATTATAGAGGCTTTCCACCATTTTGAAAAAAACATACTTATGGAAAAATATAGGAGAAATTTTTTCCTCCATGATGTTCTTGTTTCTGCTCCCAAACAAACCTCTGAGTTGCAAATAGACGTTAGGAATCTTTTCTCTTCTTTAAGCTGCACATCCTGGTCTAACTGAATCATTGGGCTTCCTGCCCTGTCTTGTTTGTGCTCATGCCCTCGGGGCGGACTTTGCGGTCATACGCAGGGTAGGGGGCACCTACCTGATGTGTGTGACCCCAGCTGCTCTTGTTGTCTGGGCACCAGCCCTCTGGTCTCCCCACAGACTGGGCAGCCCCGGTCTGGGAGCTCACCTCTCAGGTAGCTCCTGACCGTCAACAGGGATACCCACAGTGGGTTTAGCAGTTATCAGTTGATCCTCTGCCTTTTTCTTGCACATCTGCAGTTTTAAGTGGATTTTTCAGTTTCCTGTCCATTTTGGTGGTAGTGGTGGTGGCCTGTTGACCTGTAGAGACTGAAAGAGGAGGAATAAGTGGGGAATTGAACAGAGAGTTGAGAGCTTGTGGAGTTTGTGAGGGGAAGCATTTCACAGTACCTTACAGCCCTAGAGAACTGAATGTGGAAAACCCCAGAGCAGGGCAAGATGGCAAAGTATGCGTCATGGCATCAATGAGTTCTAGGTCAGACCAGTCATTATGTCATATTTATTGTCAGATGGGGAACTAGTGACCTTCATGAGAGCGTCGGATACGTACCCATATATACACACTACACACATGCCAATGCAGGCATGTACATGTGTGCACACACACTCACAGACACAATTTGAAGATGGGAATAAAGACCAGTCACAGTCTCATAGATATTCTTCAGGAATGGAGAGGCATGGTGTTCTGCTTTTAGTATGCTCCAGAGAAAGGAGAACCTTTTTCATTCACGGACAGTTACGGCCTGTGAGACACTGTCATGTCTTTGGACCTCCGTCGTCCCTCTTAAAGTGTGATGGGTCATGGATGACGGATGGAAAGGCATAACTTCATGGAGAGGGTATTCTTACGACTCTCAGGGCTCAGCTGTGTTTAGGAAAACGTCCATAGAAATGGGATTTTCACTCGTCCTTCCTCCTGGTCTCTGGAGTCCACTTACTTCCTGTGTGTTATCAGACGTTTGGGGTTGTCATTAAGAACAGAAGTTCACATCGCCATTTCTCTGGAAGTCACCTTCTCCCTAACGCCCGCAGTGCAGGTTCCTCAACCTTGTTGCCTCCAACCTTATTTCTGGAGCACTGAGTGACACCCAGGAAGTTACTACATAGTGTGATTGTGATCACGCTGTTGTTCATAGGTGTGACCCCTGCCATGGTTTCTGCCAATGTGTTTATCATACTTTGCTGAGTACTTCTGTTTCAGTATTGACTTGGGCTTTTGTAGCATCCTGTCTGTTTCTAAAGGCTTTGTGTTCCTGCCCAGTAGCTTCTGGGTTACACCCTTTGGGAACCTGGCAGATTTATGGAGGGCAGAGGACATTGGAGGTAGAAGGTAAGAAGTCTTACCCTTGCCCTCCTGCCACCAGCCCTGAAAGTGCAAAACTGGCAAGTACATGTGGCTCTTGGCATTACGAAAACCTTGCCAAAAAATGAAATTAAAATTCCTCTGCTGGGCAGGAAATTAATCAGGGCTGAATGCAGTAGACAGGGGCTCCTTGTTCAGAAGTGGGACTCCTTGTTCTGTCACTGGCTAGTGTTTTATTGTCATGTAAATGAGATTAAATGCACAGTGACTGAATGGGGGTTGAGGAGGAAGGAGACAAGTGAAAGAGATGAACAGGTTCTTTAGGATTTAAACTTGAGATGCAAAAACGTTTTTATAGCATCTGCTGCTGCTTAATCCATCAACTGCTGAGCAAGGGAAGCTCCTTGGCTTCCTGATACACAGTGATTTATTCATCCCATCGCCCTCCTAGGTCACCCACAGTGAGCCAGGCTGTGTGCCAAGTGCGAGGGCTAAGTCATGACAACACCCAGCCCCTGCCTTCCCGGACTTTATAGTCTGGTAAGAAAGGATACTGGAAGGCGCTGTCTGCAAATAGCCAGCCAGATAAGAAATGGCGTCATAGAATCTAGGACTGAAAGTGGCTGAAGCGTATCCTACCAAACTACAGCAAAAAGGAGTGAATTGGTAAAAGAAAAACTGAGCAGCAGTACAGAACGTGGCAAGAACGCTCTGGAATAGAGGGAGCGGGAACAGACGCACAGTCTCCCCAGGACCCTCAGTCAAGTGAATTGACCACATGCGACCTTCAATCCATTCACTCAAGGTTCAGATTCCGAAAAGAAGGTTCAGTTCAGTTGCTCAGTTGTGTCTGTTTCTTTGCAACCTCACGGACTGCAGCACACCAGACTTTCCTGTCCATCACCAGCTCCCAGAGCTTGCTCAAACTCATGTCCATCAAGTTGGTGATCCCATCCAACCATCTCATCCTCTGTCATCCCCTTCTCCTCCTGCCTTCAATCTTTCCCAGCATCAGGGTCTTTTCCAATGAGTCAGTTCCTCACATCAGGTGGCCAAAGTATTGGACTTTGAGCTTCAGCATCAGTCCTTCCAATGAATATTCAGGACTGATTTCCTTTAGGATGGATTGGTTTGATCTCCTTGCTGTCCAAGGAACTCTCAAGAGTCTTCTCCAACACCATAGTTTAAAAACACCAATTCTTCAGTGTTCAGCTTTCTTTATAGTCCAACTCTCACATCCATACATGACTACTGGAAAAACCATAGCTTTGACTAGATGGAACTTTGTTGGCAAAGTAATGTCTCTGTTTTTTAATATGCTGTCTAGGTTGGTCATAACTTTTCTTCCAAGGAGCAAGCATCTTTCAATTTCATGGCTGCAGCCACCATCTGCAGTGATGTTGGAGCCCACAAAAATAAAGTCTCTCACTGTTTCCCCATCTATTTGCCATGAAGTGATGGGACAGGATGCCATGATCTTCGTTTTTTTAATATTGAGTTTTAAACCAGCTTTTTCACTCTCCTCTCTCAGTTTCATCAAGAAGCTCTTTAGTTCCTCTTCACTTTCTGCCATAAGGGTGGTGTTATCTGCTTATCTGAGGTTATTGATATTTCTCCCGGCAATCTTGATTCCACCTTGTGCTTCATCCACCCCAGCGTTTCTCATGATGTACTCTGCACATAAGTCAAATAAGCAGGGTGACAATATACAGCCTTGACATACTCCTTTCCCAATTTGGAACCAGTCTGTTGTTCGATGTCCAGTTCTAACTGTTGCTTCCTGACCTGCATACAGAATTCTCAGGAGGCAGGTAAGGTGGTCTGGGAATTCCACCTCTTGAAGAATTTTCCACAGTTTCTTGTGATCTACACAATCAGAGGCTTTGGTGTAGTCAATAAAGCAGAAGTAGATGTTTTTTCTGGAACTCTCTTGCTTTTTCTATGATCAAACGGACATTAGCAATTTGATCTCTGGTTCCTCTGCCTTTTCTAAATCCAGCTTGAACATCTGGAAGTTCATGGTTCACGTACTGTTGAAGCCTGACTTGGAGGATTTTGAGCATTACTTTGCTAGCATGTGAGATGACTGCAATTGTGCAGTAGTCTGAACATTCTTTGACATTGCCCTTCTTTGGGATTGGAATAAAAGCTGAGCTTTTCCAGTGCGGTGGCCACTGCTGAGTTTTCCAAATTTGCTGGCATATTGAGTGCAGCTTCTGCCTGCCTTGCAGCTGGAGAGAAGCAGAAGACGTGAATGGTGCCACAGAGACTGTGGACAGTGGCAGAGGGACCTTTACCCAAAGAGTGAATGTGAGCTGTGTGCTGTGCTCACTTGGTCGTGTCCGACTCCCTGCAGCCCCCTGGACTGTAGCTCACGAGGCTCCTCTGTCCTTGGGGTTTTCCAAGCAAGAATACTGGCGTGGGTTGCCATTTCCTCTCCCAGGGGATCTTCCTAATGCAGGAATTGAACCTACATCTCTTCTCTCCTGCATTGGCAAATGGGTTCTTTACCACTAGAGCCACCTGGAAATGTAGAGCTAAAAAAGTAGACTTGAGTGGCCATCAGGGACTTTGTGAAGTTCAGCTATTGATGTGTCTTCTGGGCCAACAAGCAGGTATATGTTTATTTGGGGCATACTCTATGTCAAGGTTGTGATGGTTTGAGGCCGTCAGACTTAGACTCTCTTGCTATTAGGTATGTCAATTCATTGGCACTTCTGTCTTGTTCTCTTGATCCCAGTGTGAGCAGTCCCATCTCATGAGAGAGCATGAGGACGTCCAGGAGCGAACCACGCTTCGGTATGAGGAACGCATCACAGAACTGCACAGTATCATCGCTGAGCTCAATAAGAAGATAGATCGTTTGCAAGGCACCACCATCAGGTAGTTGGCTCCAAGTCACGGCTCTCTCTCTGCCCCTCTGGGTGGTAACCTGTGTTTCACACTTGAAGTCACCCCTATGAATTATGGGCTTCCCTTGTGGCTCAGCTGGTAAAGAATGTTCCTGCAATGAGGGAGACCTGGGTTCAATCCCTGGGTTGGGAAGATTCCCCTGGAGAAGGGAAAGGCTACCCACTCCAGTATTCTGGCCTGGAGAATTCCATGGACTGTACAGTCCATGGGGTCACAAGGAGTTGGACATGACTGAGCGACTCTCACACTTCCTATGCGTTACAACAGTGTTTTATTTATAACTAATGTTTTTGCAGTTGGTGAGTATTTTGTCTCTACTCTGTCAACTGTGCGCCTTCTCCTCCATTATTCCATTTTCACGTTGATCCTCATGGCAATCCTGGAAGGTAGACAGGGCAGGAGTTGTAATGTTCAGCTGACTGATAAGAAGAAGTTGAGCGAGATGCTTTATTAACAGGTTCTAAATGCAACCCCCTCTATCTCCCTTGGGGATTTTGAGAGATTTATGAATGTTGATTTTAACTAACTATTACATATGCTTCTTTGTTGTTGTTCAGTCACTGCTGCTGCCGCTAAGTCGCTTCAGTCGTGTCCGACTCTGTGCGACCCCATAGATGGCAGCCCACCAGGCTCCCCCATCCCTGGGATTCTCCAGACAAGAACACTGGAGTGGGTTGCCATTTCCTTCTCCAGTGCATGAAAGTGAAAAGTGAAAGTGAAGTCGCTCAGTCGTGTCCGACTCTTAGCGACCCCATGGACTGCAGCCCACCAGGCTCCTCCATCCGTGGGATTTTCCAGGCAAGAGTACTGGAGCGGGTCATATCCAACTCTTTGTGACCCCACGGACTGCAGCACCCCAGGCTTCCCTGTCCTTCACTTTCTCCTGGATCTTGTTCTAACTCTGCGAATCAGTGATACCTTCGAACCATCTCGTCCTCTGTCGCCCCCTTCTCTTCCTGCCCTCGGTCTTCCCCATTAGCAGTCTTCTTCAGTAAGTTGGCTCTTCACATCAGGTGGCCGAAGTATTGGAGCTTCAGCTTAAGCATCAGCTTCAGTTGATGCTGAATTAATTCAGGATTAATTTCTTTTAGGATTGACTGGTTTGATCTCCGGCTGTCCAAAGGACTCTCAAGAGGCTTCTCCAGCACCACAGTTTGAAAGTATCAATTCTTTGGCGCTCAGCCTTCTTTATGGTCCAACTCTCAACATCTGTACATGACTACTAGGAACACCATCACTTTGACAATATGGACCTTTGTCAGCAAAGTGATATCTCTGTTTTTAATACACTGTCTAGGTTTGTCCTAGGAGCAAATCTTTTTCCAAGGAGCAAATCTTTTAATTTCATGGCTGCTGTCATCATCCGCAGTGCAGTGATTCTGAAGCCCAAGAAAATAGCTTATGCTTCTAGATAATCTAAAATTTTTTTGAGCTCAGTTGACTTGCCGACGTTGGCATGGTGTCATACAAACTCCTGAGGGACGGGGCAAGATTCGATCCATCACTTGATTGGTGAAAACCCTGGGGCTGAAAAATGTTAAGCAACTACTTCTAAGTTATGCTTAGCAAAGGGGAGAGGTAGACATCTCTGCCTTTATTCAGTTTTCTTTCATAAAAGTGATGGTTGGGGTTTCTGCCTTACTTGCTCATCAATCAGTTGGCCCCAAAGTCTCCTGCACAAAGCACTTAGTTGCTGTGTCTGCCCGTTTTTGAGAAGGGTTTGCTTCAGGTGACTTACCGAGCCAAGGTTAAGGACTTGCATCTTCCTGCCCATGCTCAGAGAATAACCTGAGGGAAACAGATGGTTGGCATCTGCTTTTATGGAGAGGAGTGCTTTGTTCTCTGTTTTTACAGGCCACGATGAAGGCCATTTTAAAGGCAGCTTCTTTAAACTCTGCCTCTAAGTCCTGGGTCAGAAGACACTTTGGAAGTGTTTTGTCCCAGCTCTGAGAGTCACAGTAATGATGGAGCTGCTTGAGGAGGGTACTGGGGGGCCTCTGTTTCAGGGCAAAGTTGTGGAAAAATTTGCTGTTAATTGGAGCCACACAGTACATCTCATATTCCAGTTTAGAACCTCAAGGCCTTTAAATTGTATCCTGGTCTTCAGTGATTGTAGGTTAGAAGAACAGAGAATTTCAGCCCAAAGAAATGATTATAGCAGACTTAAAGGAGGCTGACAGAGTACATTGGCAAATTCATAATTTCCATTAAAAACATGTTGCTCTTTTAAAATCTTGAGAAGATGAAGGCAAATGAGCTTAGTGAGTTGTGAAAAAAAAATGCATCACATGTCACCTGGAAAACTCAATTTCAAGATGTTTAGATTGAATTTAATGGCCAAACTGTTTCGTATTAAAATACCCTTTTATTTAAAGGAAGATTGCATCTGTACAGATGTTGCATTAAATTCTGCCAGTTTTCATTATGTAAATGAGCTAGCTCCTCCTTGAGGAGGGGACTCCCTGCATGGCTGGAAGATGAGCAGACACGTGGGCCAGTAAGACAAGGCTCTTGTTGTCCTCTGAGCTCTAGTGGCTAAGGCACCTCCCTAACCGCCACCACTCAGCTCCAAAGATGCTATAGTCGACCCACTGCAGAGGTGCCCAACGCCTTGGACTCTCTGGTGTATCCAGGGTGTGGAGAATTGTCATGCTAATCTGGCACAATCCTGGTGCCTTTGAGACTTTCTTGTCACTTCAGTCTAGGCCTGAGTTAGGAATTTATTGGAAGAGCTGAAAAATCATTCATTAGGGAATGGTTTATGATGTATCCACATGGAAGCCATACTGAATTGCGTGAGAGAAAAGATGTAACAGTTTCATAGTTTAAAATATTTACCTCCAGTCACAATCAGAGAACTAGGGACCTTCTGTGACTGCCCTGGGAGGTTTTCCCACCTTGTATAGCCTCAGAGCTAATGCAGTGAAGAATCAGACATTGCAGGTCGCTGAATTCCCATGTAAGTTGAAGTCAGAGCCACATCAGATCTCTTAGGTTAAAGATTAAGCACTGATAGGAAAAGATGGAATGGTGAGAATTTGAATGGAGACATTGGATAGATTCAAATAAATCAAGATACCTAGAGCCTACAAACTTCACTTAGTTTCCCCTCCTGCAGAAGCAGTCTCCCTCCCTGTCTGATCAAGTTAGTCTTTCTTTGCTTGGAGCCTCTATAGCAGGCTGAACCCAGGTAGAGGGTACCAGATATAGTCATACCTCACTGCTCCTCCATCCTTCTTTATCTTTAGGCCCAAAAGTAGCCAAATTCAATCATGCCCCAGGGGGATAAGCAGAAAATCCAACCTTGGAAGATACAAGTAAGATTGTGTTCATTTATAGTCACAGGAACTTGAGAAGAATATGTGTAAGATTAGGACCTAAGTGTCCTAGACCAGGGAAATAAGAATATAGTGTTGGATTGATGATGAGTTATTGATATCACTGTTCCTATTAGAGATTCTGGATTTAGTATGTTAGCTTTAGCAGTTTGAGTAAATAAAACTAGATTCATTGGAGGATTACATTAGATAATGTTGAAATGCCAGAACTTCCTAGTGTAACATAGTCCGAGGCCATGGGGATCGGGAATAACGTCATTAAAATGGGGGTTTTGATGCCACTTCACTACTGGAGTCAGTGTGGGCATGGCTACTGTACTTGTCAACAGGGCTACAGTAGTAATCAAAATTATTTGACCCATAGAGATTTTTGATAATGTGGAATTGATCATGGAGTCTTTAGCTTTGATATAAATGGGCAGCATACTAAAGTTTTACTTGATCTTTGTAATCAAAAAATCTCTGATCTGTCTGGTGAACAAGGACTTGACCTCCCACTGTAATATATGACCTCTTATCCAGTCCCCTTACCAGGCCTCCTTCACAGACCCAGAACTCTTTAAATGAAGATGTTTACAATCCTGTCACAAGTGGGTACAGTCAGTCTTCTTTCTACCCATTTTACAGGGGAGACTGTACAGTAGGAAAAAGAGATACCCACATTCTGGGCTAGTTATTGGCTCTGAGCAGATGTTAGCCCCTGGGATCCAAAAATACCTGTAGTCTCCCAGTCTGGATGAAGATTGATGAAGATACATTAGTCAGCGGAGCCTGCTGTAACGACATACTGAAGACCGGTGGCTTAAACAATAGGAATTTACTTGCCACAGTTCTGGAATCTGGAGAGTCCAAAGTCAAAGTGCCAACCAATTCATTTCTTCACTGAGTGCTGTCTTCCTGTCCTCCTGAAGGCTTCCTTCTCACTGTGTCCTCACATGGCAGGGAGAGAGGGAAAAGGCAAGCTCTGTTATTTCGTAAGGGTACAAATCCCATCATGAGGGATCTCATCAGATCTAATTATATCTCAAAGGTCCCATCTCCAGATACCATCACTTTGAAGGTTAGCACTGCAACATAGAACTGGGGTGGTAGTAACAACGGACAATAACACATAATTCAGTCCACAGTGGATCAGGTGACAAGTGGCATCATGAATAAATCTCATAGTGGACCTAGTCTACCATTGTACCCCATCCGCGTGGTAACATTTTTAAAATCCCTGTACGTGTGGTAAATGCTCCCAACAAGCAACAATACATGGTCCTGTTTTTTTGGCTTCAGGAACCAAGAAGTGGAAATACAAGTGGCTCCTCTCATTCTTACACCTAAAAGCCCACTTTAAAAATTGTTGCTTCCCCTCTTGGTGACTTTGAGCTCTGCTAGTTTTAGAAGTTTCATTCCAAGGGAACAATGTAGTGGCAAACACAGCAGTGATTCCATTGCTGCCACTTAGCCCTCGGGACATCTCATGTCACTGAACCAACAGGCAGTGAAGGCAGTTACTGTACTAGTGGGATCCCAACTCTCCAGGGGAAACTGGACTGTAGCTGTACCATGAGGCGGCAGGACTGTGTCTGGAACTCATGGGATTCCCTGGCATCCCTCCTGGATGTTGTCCAGTGATACAAGTTA